TGTTCGTTTGTTATCTCCCCCCCCCCCCCCCCACTAAATGGATAGGTTGTTTGTAGTCGTAGAAGCCACAAACAAGTTAATCATGCCTGAAATAAATGTATACAGATCAGAGAAGCGTAGATTAGATTGCAGCACCTGAAAATATTAAAAAAAAAGCCTCATTTTAGTAACCTCAATTTATTTTTTAAATAAAAAAAAATTTACAGCATATATGATGATCTATTTGTACATGCCGTATATGAAAATACAAAAATAGTGCCCAATTATGGGTGAATGAAGCACTAAAAAAATGTGTTTATTATTATTGTGTGTGGTTGTGGTTTTGCCCCTCTAAATAAGTGATGTTGATCCAAAAATCCGCATCAACAGGTTGGATCGGCTCATCACACCTCATCCATATTTTTTCCTCACACCACGCATTATCTTTTTGGATAGGTTGATGAAGTAGTAAGTTGCACAACTTCCTTGCAATGTGGATCAACAAAATAAAATAAAAGATCAAAAGTTGCACAACTTTTGGGTCATATTAGTCTGTACGCATAGGTAGGTAGTGTAGGGGACCACTCCTAAATGCTTTCTTCCTCCTCTCTTGCTTCAACGACTTGCTCCCCCACAAAGCTCCAAATGTCGTCATTGGGATTTTTGCCTTTTGATTTGGGCAAAACAAAATATTTGGTGTGCGCCCTTGAGAAAAGGCACGTGACTACCTAGGGCACCACTCATAAACGCTTTCTTCCTCCTATCTGGTTCAACGACTTGCTCCCACCGCCCATGTTTTGCCACAAATAGAAAGGTCCCTTTTGGAATGGTCTGCATATCCTCCTCTTACATAAGAAATAATTTCACTGCAATGAAATGAAACAGATATTAAAAGTTGGAGTTGGGCATTAGATCATCGACACGCATTTGAAAACGTTGAGCATATGGTACGAGTTTGAAATATATTGATGAAGATTATTGGGTAAGGGTATAAATTAGAGTTGTACTATATTAATATATATATATATATATACAGTCCTCTTCTATTGAGGGATCCCTCAAATAATTTTATTTGAGAGACGCCCTTTAGTCTTCATAGATCATCTTTACAAAAAATTAGACAGAAAAAAAAGAAGGGTAAGTAGAATCGAATCTTCAATTGATGTATACAATACACCAATCTCTTCTTTCTCGCGAACTCTTCTTCTTCCTCGCGCCCCCTCGTCCGTTTTTTTGTTTTAGTTTATATGCTATTATTTGTTGAGCTTTCTGTCTTTGGTCACAGGACCACACGGAGCTGAGCAAAGAACATGAAGAAGTTATGAAGAAGGTGAAAGAAATGAAAGAGCTGTCCCAGAAGATCAAGCAGGAGCAGAATACCAAAAAGTAGAACCAGAAATAAGCCATAAGGTTTATTCATATGGTAATGGCAGGCAGACTTATGTTAGGACTATATTTTAATTGGTGGTGATCAGATACTTAATATTGCAATTAAACAAAGTTTACTTTTTAATTCCTCTTCCCTGCTTCTTATGATGCCTTTAATGTGATGTAGAGCCTCTGCAAAACCCAAAACAAAACTGCACAAAAATGAACATTTGCAGGTCCAAACGCATCAGAAGAAGCAGGGAAGAGGAATTAAAAAGTAAACTTTGTTTAATTGCAATATTAAGTATCTGATCACCACCAATTAAAATATAGTCCTAACGTAAGTCTGCCTGCCATTACCATATGAATAAACCCTATGGCTTATTTCTGGTTCTACTTTTTGGTATTCTGCTCCTGCTTGATCTTCTGGGACAACTCTTTCATTTCTTTCACCTTCTTCATGTTCTTTGCTCAGCTCCATGTGGTCCTGTGACCAAAGACAGAAAGCTCAACAAATAATAGCATATAAACTAAAACAAAAAAACGGACGAGGGGGCGCGAGGAAGAAGAAGAGTTCGCGAGAATATGAGGGGACCGCGTGAATTTTTTTGTTAGGGTTGTAAAACGATGCTGTTTCACTTTCAGGCTTTTTAAAATTGAGGTTACTTTAAATTTTTTTATATTTAAAAAATAAATTGAGGTTACTAAAATGAAACACACGTTCAGTGTTGTTTCTTTCCTTTTTTCTAATGAAATTAATATATTAAGTTAATAATACATGTGGTGTATTGTATACATCAATTGAAGATTCTATTCTACTTACCCTTCTTTTTTTTCTGTCTAATTTTTTGTAAAGATGATCTATGAAGACTAAAGGGCGTCTCTCAAATAAAATTATTTGAGGGATCCCTCAATAGAAGAGGACTGTATATATATATATATATATTAATATAGTACAACTCTAATTTATACCCTTACCCAATAATCTTCATCAATATATTTCAAACTCGTACCATATGCTCAACCTTTTCAAATGCGTGTCGATGATCTAATGCCCAACTCCAACTTTTAATATCTGTTTCATTTCATTGCAGTGAAATTATTTCTTATGTAAGAGGAGGATATGCAGACCATTCCAAAAGGGACCTTTCTATTTGTGGCAAAACATGGGCGGTGGGAGCAAGTCGTTGAACCAGATAGGAGGAAGAAAGCGTTTATGAGTGGTGCCCTAGGTAGTCACGTGCCTTTTCTCAAGGGCGCACACCAAATATTTTGTTTTGCCCAAATCAAAAGGCAAAAATCCCAATGACGACATTTGGAGCTTTGTGGGGGAGCAAGTCGTTGAAGCAAGAGAGGAGGAAGAAAGCATTTAGGAGTGGTCCCCTACACTACCTACCTATGCGTACAGACTAATATGACCCAAAAGTTGTGCAACTTTTGATCTTTTATTTTATTTTGTTGATCCACATTGCAAGGAAGTTGTGCAACTTACTACTTCATCAACCTATCCAAAAAGATAATGCGTGGTGTGAGGAAAAAATATGGATGAGGTGTGATGAGCCGATCCAACCTGTTGATGCGGATTTTTGGATCAACATCACTTATTTAGAGGGGCAAAACCACAACCACACACAATAATAATAAACACATTTTTTTAGTGCTTCATTCACCCATAATTGGGCACTATGTTTATATTTTGTATTTTCATATACGGCATGTACAAATAGATCATCATATATGCTGTAATAGTATATAATTGATTTAAAAAGATTCAGAGAGAGGAGATAGGGAATAATAAAATAGGAAGGATAAACAAAGGGGAGAGAGAGAGAGGACCCCACCAAATGTCCCCATAGAAGAGCGAGACCAAATGTTGAATTTATGCGGCTGAGGCTTTGTATGCATGTACCATTACGATATCATATCATAATTACTTTGTTTTGCCCAAATCAAAAGCAAACCAAATAAAGAATCCCAATGAAAAAGTTCGTTTGGACTTGTGTGTGCGTATGGAACTTAGAAGCTTTGACGTACTGAAACAATAAGAATGATACTCCCACTTTCGTGCCCCCACGCGCACCCTAGGGACCTGCATGCTATCCCGACTAATAAGACAGTCTACATCTGCCCACTCCTCTCCTTTTTCTTCCCCATTGAAGATCACACTAATCATCTGCCTCTCCTTTCATGATTCCCTAGTCTACTAGACTACTTTTTATTACTCTCTCTCATCAGTTTATTGTCCATTTATTTACAAAAATGAACATTGTAACTCATCATAAGCACACATGTATGGTTTTTGGATCAAAAGATGAAAGCTTTCAAGATAATTAACGTAAAATTTTAGAACCCATAGGGCTTCTTGATGTGTGTATTTATCATTTGAGTTGGTGTTATTATCAGCCACTGCTCACAAATACAAGCTAGATGATAGATTTAATTCAACAGGACTAAATCAGGTCAAATAACAAAGCATCATCATACAAAATGAACAAGACGAGCACAACCCAAATTTGTAAATATACTGTAGCAGAAATGAAGACTTGTCACAGACCTGAATGAGTTGGGTGGCACTGTTGAGGGTCTAATTGCAGTCACATGGAAACCAGATTTCAACAAACTCCTGTTCATTGATGATAAACAAAGTTAGATACAGTTGTAGAATGGTCTCCAAATCACACAAACAGATAGAGAGGGAGACAAAACTGGCTTACTTCAACACCTAAAGTATTAAGTTTTAAAACCAACAGCCACAGTTTCCCTCCTTATTTAGCATAGTTCAGAGAAATTTAGTGACTCAGGAATAGTACACAGCGTTTTCATTTCAAGAGTTAGAAAATAAAACATTGATTGTGGTTTTCTTTTGAAGATAAAATAAAACTAGAAAAATCTAAAATCTGAATAGAGAAAATGACTCAAGAGTTAGAAAATAATTCATTGGAAAAATAAATAAACAGAGGCGATGGTGTAAAAGATGGACATGCAAAGCTTTGATCGAATGGAGAAGCACTGCATTCCGATCATCTCTGAGGTTTTCTTCAAACAAAAACAAGAAACAGATGGGATGTGATCGTGTGAATGGGAAGGGGAAATGGGAGCTTTTGGTGGCTCCTGCGGCGGATGTGAGGTAATTTATAAGAGACGGGTTGTTAGGGTTTGTAAAGGAGAGGGAGCGAACGCGCGTTTTGAGTTTGACTCCTTCAAGTGGGTTGGCCAATCATCACCGTCGGATCAAAGATGGTTTTGATTGTCAAATGTAGGGACAAAACAAAAAAAAATAGGAAAAAAGAAACAAACAAAAAAACGTGTATAGCCGCGCGGCTATACTATTCCATGGTCAAAAATAGGACAGCCAGGGTATAGCCGCACGGCTATACTATTCCACTTCAACAAGGCAGCACGAGAAAGAACAGAAGAGTCCGCGTGAAATTTTTTATTAGGGTTGTAAAACGACGCTGTTTCACTTTCAGCCTTTTTAAAACTGATGTTACTTTAATTTTTTTTTTTTTAATTTTTTTTAAAAAAAACTGAGGTTACTTAAATGAAATGCACGTTCTGTGTTGTTTCTTTCCTTTTTTCTAATGAAATTAATATATTAAGTTAATAATACACAACAGTGTATTGTATATATCAATTGCAGATTCGATTCTACTTACCCTTTTTTTTTCTTTCTAAATTAATATTATTTTAACACATGGACCTATATATATATATATATATATTGTATAGTACAACCCTAATTTCTACCCTTACCCAATAATCTCCATCAATTTCAAGAATTCTCTCCTTTTGGTATGAATAAATATTTTATGTTTTGGAATTGATTATTATGCCTAAATGACAATTAGTACTTATATTTGATTATATATTTAAAAGATCGTTAAGAATTAGTAGTACAATTTAATTGTGTTGTATTATTTATAAATTTTTCCTATTAAAATAAATTAATGTTCGAAAGGCTTACGTCTCACATAGCGTGACTAAAACGCCTTGCATCTACGCCTTGCCTTCATCAATAACTAACAAAAAGCCATGCAGTTTGCGTAGCTTCACAAGCTCAATCATTGATGCAAAGTCTCCGTCCATACTAAACAAGCTGTAGTGAAAGACAAAAACAATTCATAAGGAATATAACAAATAAAATCAATAGGAACACTTTATATGAACGTGAATTTGATTCCAACTGAAATGATGGTACAGAAAGTAGTTTAAAAATAGTGGCACTTGCCTATCAGTCACGACGACTTTCTTCCTCATTGTGCAACTTGATCTGTCACAACACAAAATGCATTTCTAAGCTATGGACAGAAGGAAGTGCATATCCAATAAGAATAGGCACACAAATTCAAAACAAAAAGTTTAAGACCTACAACAATGCATTAAGGTGAGTCATGTCGCAATGTCTATAGATGAATATCTCTACAAATTTTTGTCGTTCAGCAAGACGAATACCATCTATTATTGACGCATGGTTCAGTGCATCAGAAAAAAATGGCAATTTTTTCATTAGATAAAGGTGTTTTTCCAGCAGCCAAGGGAGGGCCAACATTTCCCAAAGCTACCATCAACGCCATATTGGCTGAAAATCCTGTGGGACAAAGAAGGCAATCCTAGGGGATAAATTTGAAACAAGATTGCATCAGTTTTCACGTTTGAGCTAAAAAACCTAAAAAAAGTATTTCAATAAACAGACAAAGTATTTCAATAAACCAGACATAAAGTCTAAAAAAACCACACAATTAAACTTCGTCTAGAAATGAAAAAGGAAATGATGTTCATTGACTGGGAAAGCATGTGTATATTTCTGACAGTTAAAGCTAGCATAGTCTAAATCCAAGTTTCTACCAAATGACCCTTGACACCATGGGCCATGGCCAATAAACAGGAAGAAGAGAATGAATGACAAAGTTCACATAAAGAAGTTAAATCAGCACAGTATAATGTATAAACAGAGCAGCTCATACCTCTTTCTTCTTTAAGTCTGCAATGCATGACTCGAGTTGCCTATGGTAATCGGTATATCCGCAGATTAAAGCAGAGCCCCTGGGGCCCATCCCATGTTCTAGGGCTGCCTGGTTGAATATAAATCCTATTACATGGTAACTTAAAGATGCAATCTTTACAAAAATTATGCAAAAAAGACAACCTTGGAAGCAGCTTTTCCAATGGTATGATGTGAGCTCAAGCCCAAATAGTCATTCCCAGAGAATAGTATAAGCTTTCTGAACTTATGGGTACCTTCCTCATCTCCTGTGAATTCCATAAACGTAATGCAAGTTCAAAACGGAGAAAATTCCACAAAAAGCAAATTGGAAAATAGTTGTTGAATTGAACCGTACCGGAACTGGGAATGTCGTGGAGCCATTTCTGGAACGTGGGTTCAGGAATGTGGACCTCCACAGAGGATCGGCTGCATTTCATCAAACACACGGAATTCATCTTCGACGGGGTTTTGGGCTTCATGGGTTGGTCCATTTTGGAGGTAAATGGGTCTGAGAGAACGGAGGAGTTGCAGGTGTTCAAGTTTCTGAAGAGCTTCTTCAACCCAATGATCCCACCACCTCAACATCTCAATGCAGCTCACTTCTGCAATTTGCATAGCAGATAGAGAAGAAGCCGGCGGGCGTAGTTGGACTGTTGGAGCGTAACGCCTTGAGCAGAGCTAAAAACTCGGAAGAGGCAGGGTTAACCACGTATGTCCTCAACTGCAAAAGGACCAATTGGCAATTTGGGAATAGTTTCGAAGGATAAAAGACAAGACACGTTGGGGTCAATTCGTGAATAAAGATAGATAAGCAATCCCGTTTTCACCCTGCTAGATTACAATACCATTAAGGCCATTATTGATTTTTCACATCTCATTTGTGTTTTTTTTTTCTTTTTCTTTTTGGTCAGAACATTTATTTTAATTTTTTATATTTGGAATATATATGTATTTTTTTCTTACAAATATTCATAAACAATCTGGGAAGACAAATTTCACAGCGATCACTCTACGTATTCAAATTTCATCACTCATTTGCATTGATATAATTGACTATATGCATACATATATATATGCATACATATTTTTTTCCTACAAACATTCGTAAACAATATGTAAAGACAAATTTGACAATGATCACTCTTGGACATAAAATAAATAAAATATTACCATATTTAGTTTATGCCTCTAGTATTATTCTTATGGTAAATTAATTGATTCTTACTAGAGTTATCAAATTTTGGTATCCAAACCAATCAAATCCTAAAGCCTTGCATAACCATTTGAGTCATAGATGCGAATTTCTTGGAAATTGACACAATAAGAGAGTGCAACAGTGATTCTCTCAATGTCGTCCCTTGTGTGCCTTGCACTTAGTGTCACTCATAACCTATATGTCCAAACAAAATTACAAAAAAAGATACAAGAATGTGCACAAACAAACAACATATTACAATAGTATATAGATCTTCATTTTCCTAGGTTTAATGAGTTAGGTTTCAATTTCCAAAGGTACAATCAAAACTAGTAAATGCTATAAACTATTCTTATCGGTAAACAAAAATCGGGGAAAAAAATTAAAAAAAAAAAAGATCCCAATATATATATAGAGAGAGTATTGCTGATCAACTATACTATTTATTTAAAAAAAAATAAACATAAAAACCCAGTCAAGCCGTGTGGCTATACTATTATTTTTAAAAAATTTTAAAAATATAGTTTATAAAAAAAACAAAACAGAGCAGCCGCGTATCGCCTAGTTGCCCGTGGCTATACTATTCACATTTCTTTAAAAATACTATAGCCGCGCGGCTATACTATGTACGGAAGAAAAAAAACACAGTCGTAGGCCCGTTCGACGGTTCGATGTGATCGAACGGGAGAGAAGAAAAAGATGTGATCGACGGCAGGAGAAAAAGGTAGGCTTTCTCAGTCCTCACTCGCTCCTCTCAAATGGCAACAAGCAATGGAGTTTGGGAGCGATGGGAGCTCACACTCTTTGAACTCTGTTCCCATTTTACCACAACCCCACCAATTCCTTGCCTTTTTTTGTCTGGAAAGCCTTTCAATTCTCTATTTTCCCATTTCGTTTATTTGGATTTAGACGGCTAAATAGCGAGAATTTCATAAACCAAAAAGAAAATTTTGATTCTGACATATTGGGATAGTTGGAACTCGGAAGGCATCAATCAGTAGATTTGAAAGAAAAAAACTTTAATCTTCTAGCAAAATATAACCCAACCATTGAACATGTTTGGAATTTGATGCAGCCGAAGAAACCAATTCTCACAATGATAGAAATCAGAGAAAAATATTCTGTTTCTTTATAGATAAACATTGTTGGGAGAGAAACGAAGGTTTTTTTATGTGTAGTGAATGTATAATTGTATATGCCAACGTGTATAAAATTTTCTCTGGTTATGCGTTTTTAGTGTCTCGTGGTAGAATTGTAAATTTAAGGACTTGTAGGAATTGATTTTGGTGTAGTTTGGAGGGAGTTGCTCTGGGGAGCTTTTGCTGGGCCATTTGTGGCAGGGATGGGGTGTATCTGGTTGAAACCGAAATACTGGGAATGTTTTCTTTGTGCAAGTCAGGTATGATAATAGAGTAAAGATGTTATAGATGTAACATCCATGGCTGATGGTTACAACTTTTCTCAAAAGAGACAACATTGTGCTTTTGTTTGGACTTTCTGCAGGGATGGGATGCAACAAATAAAAGACAGTTTCCCTCTTCTTCCATTCTCATGGGAATTGGGAAATTGAACTTGTGGATCATTACTTTCTTCCCCTTCTGTATGCACATTCACTGGAATATGGGAACCAGCAATTTCTCATGTTGGTGCTGCTTCAGTTGCAAATCAGACTATTGAGGGTCCCTAGTTAATGTATAAATCCCTATATTCTTGGACTGTTGGAACTAAAAAAGAGTGGTGCATTATTCCATAGTTATGATGAGAGTCAATGGGGAGAAGAAAAGAAATATTATTTTGACTGTTTTTTCTTATCATTTTGAAGAAAAATCTACAGAAACACTTAATCACATGTGCAATATGGAAGCTGCAAGATTTGTGTTGGGTGCCTGCACAAGCAAACTAATTTATCATCTTAATTTCTTGTACAAAGCAAACAAGCGTATATGTCGTTGGCAAAGTCAGCAAAATGGAGATTTGGAGTTGGAGGTGTTTAACTGCTCACCAACTTGCTTTTGAGGAACAATATATGTACTTTGAATTGATCAAGAATGCAAGTCATTCTCACAGTTGAAGTTAGGTCATCTAATAATAGGAATCCTCCAACATATAAATCTATAAAATGAAATCCCCCTCTTATGTTTTATCTCATCTTACATTACATTCTCATTCTCCATTGAAATGGGAAAGCTGCTTCCAGTTCTTGTTTTTGGTCTTGCTGTCCTTGGGTTTGCATTGACATGCACTGCTACAACTTACACTGTGGGGGACACCTCTGGCTGGGACATAAGCACTGACCTCAGTACATGGTCCAACGACAAAAAATTTTATGTTGGCGATATTCTCTGTAAGTGAAAGTTATACTATACATTCAATTTGAATTAAGCAACTTGTTGTCTTTAATTTTTGTTTTGTTTTGGGTTTGTTTCTGGTTGCAGGGTTCCAATACTCGTCATCTAATAGTGTTAGTCAAGTGAGCAAAGAAAGCTTTGAGAGTTGCAACACAACCAAAGTTGTGGAATCATATACAGGGGGGAACACAACGGTCACATTGACGCATCCTGGTGATTGGTATTTTGTGAGTGGTAACAAGCTATACTGCTTGGGAGGGATGAAGCTCCATGCAGAAGTAGAAAACAACCAAGCTTATGCGCCGGCTGGCGCACCACAGGCAGCAACTGGTTCCGGCCAAGGGGATCATCTTCCACAACCTACTTCTAAGAGCAACATTCCTACTTCAAGTGCATTCATCAACTGTGGACCTAATGTCTTTCTGTTGGCTATCTTAGGCCTTATAGCTTCCATGCTATATACGGATGTTAAATAGTGAGTCCTTGTATGAATATATATAGCAGCTGCAGCTATATAGCCTGCAGTTTTTGAAATAACAAAAATTTCCAAGTCTCTTTAGTTTTAGTGTGCTAATTTAGTATATGATTGTATTAAATCAGGAAAGAGAGAATCTTTGATGAACAATAGATATAAACTTTCGTTTTCTACACAAAGAAACGGGTCAAATACAACTATAATTTATTTTATTATCATCTAATCTGTAGTTGTAGCTACATTAACCACTACCAACAGCATGTCATTTTGGTTAAACCGACATTGCTTACATCAAACCAAAGCTTTGACTTTCTTCTACTCTCTCCAACTTGTAAAGAAAAAAAACCCAAAAAGAGTTGTAAAAGAAACAGAAACCCTGAACAATGCTTTGGAAAACCTTAATATTATTTGGTCTCTTTTTTTCTTGATGACATTGTGATTGTGAAAGTAATGGTCTTCCAACGTTGTTTAAAAGAGGAAACTTGTTGCTTTTTCTTAAACAACCTGTATTTTCCATTCTTATCCTCCCGCGGTCCCACCTCATGTGTGTGGGTAGGTACCCGCCAAGTTGCCAGAAGGCGCCACACAATTCCTGAACAGAAACAAAACAAATAAGTTGAAGAAAATCTTGGAGAAGAAGACCAGCATTTTAATTTCCATAGGCCAAAAAAGAAAGCAAAAAATTCTGTATAATTTTCATTTTCGATTAAAAAAATAATTGTGAATAACTACCTCCCAAGACGGAACTCTCACTTTAGCCCGAAATAAAACCAACACGTCACACCCGAAAATGCTCAAAACCTTAGCCACCATCTCCACCACTTCACCACTCATCTCCACCGCCATAACCACCCCTAAACTCTCTCTCTCTAAGCCCTTCCTTTCTCTCTCTCAACTCCAAAACAAACCCACCTCCCCCTTCCCACAAACCCACAGACCCATCTCTTTCAACAAGCCCCACATGAACCTCCTCAACAAGCTCGGCTTCGGCCCAAAGACCTCCGACCCCACCTCCGATTCTTCCTCCATCCCTCTGGGCCCAGACGACGACGTTCCGGCGCCAGGTCAGCAGTTCGCCCAGTTTGGAGCCGGGTGCTTCTGGGGTGTCGAGTTGGCCTTTCAGCGAATACCTGGCGTGACCAAGACAGAGGTTGGGTACACCCAAGGGTTCTTGCACAACCCGACTTACGAGGACGTGTGTACGGGCACCACCAACCACTCTGAGGTCGTGAGAGTGCAATACGATCCTAAAGAGTGTAACTTTGAGACTCTGCTTGATCTCTTCTGGTCCAGGCATGACCCCACCACGCTCAATCGCCAGGTGAGTTGTTCTGAATTTTTTCTCTGGAAATTTTTTTTATAAATTATTTGGGTTGGGTTGTTTTGTTGGGGTTTCGTTGGTTATTGTGGGAATATGTTCAATTGCTTGTGTGATAGGATCAAGATTTGATTTTAGTAGTTTGGTGGTTGATATGTTTTGTGTGTTTTATTGATGAATTAGGGACAAAACTTTGATTGATAATTTTTGGGCTTTTCTTGTTTTGCCCTGTAGATAACTGTGTCAGTGTGTGAGAAAAGGAGATTGTAATTGACTGCACAACTTCTTGTACTGAAGCAGTTAGTCCTACTTTACTCATCAAATTTAACTGTTTTTATGTTGTTAGAATTCAGTGAGTTGCATGTAGCAGCATTGTCAACGATATCTCAGTTTTATGATAGCAGATCATTGGGATTGACCGGACATTAGTATTTTCAGAGTTATGATTACTGAAACAGTAGCCTTGCTTATGATTCTCTTTTTCATAAACCCTAAATCCCTCTTTCTCTTAATGGTTTGTCTTTTGTTGGCTCTTATTTTCTCATATCCATAAGCTACACCTAGAGATTGATTTTATATTTGTAGATTTGTCCTGAATATTCTCATAGAAATTCGAAATATGTGATATTTGATTTTCTTAATTAGAGTGTGATCCAAAAAGTACATTTGTCTTATGGCTGAAGTAACCATAAGGGTTTTTCCATATGTAATGGGCAGGGGAATGATGTGGGAACACAGTACAGATCTGGAATATACTTCTATACACCTGAGCAAGAGAAGACAGCACAAGAATCCTTGGAACAACACCAGAAGAAAATGAACCGAAAGATTGTTACAGAAATTCTTCCGGCCAAGAAGTTCTACCGAGCAGAGGAGTATCATCAGCAGTACCTTGCTAAAGGGGGCCGTTTTGGTTTTAAGCAATCTACTGAGAAAGGATGCAATGATCCAATCCGATGCTATGGCTAATTTATTTGCTACTGCCTTGAAAGTAAAACCGTACAAGCCATACCCGGTATTGTTCGTAGGTTGGTGCTTTTGTCCATATGGGTGACTTGTAACTAGCTTTTACATACTCTGTCTAGTAAGTAAGCATGGTGTTTCCATGTTGTGAGCTTGGATCTGCAATAAATTGTAGTGCTGTATGAACCTCATCTACCACCATTGGAAAATTTGGAACTTAGCTGTTGTCTCCACTGTTTTGTTTTAGTTCTGTCTGGCAATTCGCGTTGTTAGCACTGTTACCTGTTCCAGGTAGTCCTCTGGTTTATTATTTTTAGGGCCAAAGCTATGCAATCTTTTCTCCGCAAGTCAAACTAATAGCACCAATTGTCCTGTTGCAGCATTGTGGTTTCCAATTATATTATGGAGCTTTTGAAGCTTTTAACCTGATCAAAGTTAATTTCTCTTAAGTTTGTTGGAATGAGCATTGTGTGCTTGGAGGCCAGTGAGGCTAGACACTATATTTGAGCCATGTCAACCAAAAGAACACATAGCCTCACATGGTCGCATACGGCATGCCATAGTCTGCCCTAGTAAGGACGGCATGCCCAAGCCTGACCTAGTCGTGACTCGTGTATAAAGGTGAAGAAGGCGAAGGGACCATAGAAGATAGTCTCATGCATGATGCATCTGGGTAAGGAGCTAGCTACCCTGCAAAATCAGAACCTAAAAGTTAACTGGAAGCATGGATAAGTAGAAACATGCACTACATGTTTCATTAACATGCGAGCACGGGCTTGCTAAGATTCTGAATAAGTGGCACGTTTCTGTATGACCAATTCACACATTTCTCCCTCTATTTGTGGAAAACTCTATTCAAAGTGGATAGGTACAAGGTCACATTCTAAGGTACATGAGACCCACTCCTAACCCATAAATATAAGGTATGAAAGCGGCCAGAGAGAGAAGAGAACCCCATTTAATCTAAGTGGTGTTAATTCAATCACAATAAAGACAAATAAAGGATCCAGTCACTTATTTTTGTATTTGAGTAAGTATTAGTAGAATTGGTATGCTTGAGAAATCATGTGTTTGCCTTTTGAATTAGCAATTAAGTGTTGGTTCACATAAGAAAGAACACATGGTTGGTGAAGGGGCCACATTCTTTGCCCTTCCCTTCCCTTCCCCTTCCTTTCATTTATGAGTCTTAATATGTCTTAATATTATAAGCATCCACAAATTTACACTCCACCCTTGTTGTATATATACTAAGAAAGACTAACTTTGCAAATTGCACCTGTAAAATAAACATTAGGTAATACGTTGTCTTGAAACATTTATTAAAGGTTCTATGTTCGATTCTCCCTCCTTCAATCTCGCTAATATAAAAAATAAGTTGTTTTGAAATATTTGACAGTTTTATAGATGCGTGCATACAAGTTACAAATCATCCAAATTATAAACTAAAATCAAAACTGAGTATGAAATCAACATGCGTTTTGAATAAACGTGTCGGCACGGTCATTGCAGAGATCAAAACAGTGAGTGCCAGCATGTTAATGAGCACGAACAGACTTTCCTTTTTCTTTTCCTCTCTTTCTTTCTTTCTTTGGTCAATCCTCTTGCTACGTACCCTCTTTGTTTATTTAACAATTATTTGATATCAAATCAGCATCATGGTCCATCGTAATCGGGCTGGCTTGGCTGGGTCTACATGAAACTTGAAGGCAAGATTCTTTTTCTTTTTTTTTGCTGCAATAAATCATTCATCAAGTTTGGTGGTTATTGTTAGGAATTACTGCAATCACACTTCACAAATAATGGGGTCATCATATTCTATTATTATTATTTTATTATATATATTGATGAAAGCTTGTTGCCATTTTTATATTTTGATTTTTGTTTGCTTGGCAAGGGAAGCTGGCAATTGCTGTGATGATTAAAGTCCATATCCACAGTGGAAAAAGTCAGTTTTGTTCAGAATTATTGTAGCTGGAAATTACATAGGAAGTTGGCCTATGTCTTCACCTTTACTTCTAAAGATTATGCCATTTTAAACCACCCCAACCCCTAAAGACAAAGAAGTGAAGTGAGGGACAGCATGAACTTTATTGGATTTAGAGTACACATTAAAAAGACTTTGTGAACCATTTCCATTTCCCCTAATTCTCATTAAGATTTACCTTCGCACTCAAGTTTGAATTCATTCTCTCACTTTTTTTTGGATAAAAAAAGAAAAGAAAATACTCACTAAAGGCACTTGAAATTCTTCTTCAACCATCATGAATCATGATCCATCACAAATCCCAATTATTTCACACACAAAGCACGTATTTTCTTTCACAAGTCAAGTCATTAGCCCTACTTTCGTGCCCCCGCAAACAACTTTTCTATCACCAGCCAGCAGCAGCAGCTAAACCCATTATTTATGCCTAACATAAACAATCAATGATCACTAAATCTTTTCTAATATATAAACCAGACAGAAAATGCAACCCTTCAGACACGTAACAACACAAGCGCATCCTAATATTACATATATAAATAAGAAGCAGCCAACAGAAACAGGGCAAAACAATGGCTGATCAGGTTGAGAGCACTAGCCCAGAGGCCATGCCAAGAATGATAGACTTCATGTCCTCAGTTCTCGAGCGAGTGGCCAAATCCAACGATCTGAGCCGGGGGTTCGAGCCGACCCAGAGGCTGTCGCTTTTCCACAGCCTCACCACACCCACCATTACAATCCACAGCTACCTCCAGAGGATCTTCAAGTACGCAGATTGCAGCCCCTCTTGCTTCGTCGTTGCCTACGTCTACCTCGACCGCTTCACTCAGACGCAGCCATTGTTGCCCATCGATTCCTTCAATGTCCACCGCTTGCTCATCGCCAGCGTCTTGGTCTCTGCAAAGTTCATGGATGACATGTAAGCCAGCCTTCTGTTTTAGTTTCTTGAATTTGGGTTCTTTTTCTTTTTCTACTTGCTTGAAATGCTTGATCTTCTTGGTAGGATTTTAGTTCTGGGTTTTGCATAGTTAATCAAATGGGTTCCTTCTTCTATGAGTTTCAAGATTCAAGCTTTTTACCGAACATAAGTTGAATTTATACTTTCATGGTCTCTTTCTCTGTGTCATTATATAATTTGGTCATCTTCTTGTTCAGTTCTTGATTGTTTTGATTGAAACCAATCTCCTTTTTTTTTCTTTCTTTCTGTTCTGATGAATTGTGTCACATACGCACATAAAACAAGTGATGGAAGACCTGGAAAACAAGTTGGTTCCATGTTATTCCAAAATGAGGTTCATATCCTAATTGTTAATGGCATCACCGTTTGGAAGCAACCACCGC